GTGGGGGGGGGTGTGGGGGGGGGGGGGGGTGAGAGGCTGAATGGCTTGGGCAATGTGGGGTGTTGGGAGGAGTGGGGTGTCAGGTAAGACAGTTCAATATGGCCTACCTAACTTTTAGGCGTTTTCTGATAGTTCCTATGTGGTTCCTGCAGTCAGTGACTCTAGCCCAGGTAACTGCTGCTTCTGGTTTTTTGTGTGTGTATTGGCTCTTGCAGTTCCCCTGGGGGGGGGGGGGGGGGGGGCAATGTGGGGTGTTGGGAGGAGTGGGGTGTCAGGTAAGACAGTTCAATATGGCCTACCTAACTTTTAGGCGTTTTCTGATAGTTCCTATGTGGTTCCTGCAGTCAGTGACTCTAGCCCAGGTAACTGCTGCTTCTGGTTTTTTGTGTGTGTATTGGCTCTTGCAGTTCCCCTGGGGGGGGGGGGGGGGGGGGGAAGAACAACTTATGTTTAATGATGGGCTTAAACATTCAAGAAATGTGGATAAGCCTCTCTGGCTTAAATAAACCCCCCAACTGTTCCACCTACAGCTGCCAAACCTCATTTTTGCCTAAGCCAAAAAAGCTAACACTTGCACCTTTTTCTAGTTGACTGACCAATTGCTTACAGGTCAAGATGCTAACTGGCCACTAGGGTTCTCCAGACCTCTTTATGATGACAGCATTTGTTACTGTCTGGTAACTGCTGCACTTACTAGCTAGGACTTCTAGGATCTGGAAATGGTGCCTCAATTGAAGGAGAGCAAGAATTACAAATGTAACAAGGCCTCTGACCGTTAACTACTCCTTACCTCTGCTTGGGGGTATAGATTATGCCCCTCTTCTGATCTCTTTAATCAGTCTGTGCACTTGAGAATACACTCAATAGCTACATCTGCTCTCAGTATCCAGGGATAGATGAAGACAAGAGCCTATAATGTTCTCTCCACCACATGCAAACTACCAAGTGGTGGAAAGAAGCAATCTTGGGGCAGGGGTAGTGGTGTAGCCAGTGCTACAACATGGCATAGCCCTATCAAAAGCATTGTCTTCCCTCTGTTTTTAGCAGGCTGTTGGGGTTGGGTCATAGTTTACCCCCAAAAGGGAGTGGGGGAGGCGGACAGCCATGCCTGACAATCTTGGGGGTGGGGGCAGGGGAATGCAATATAATAGAATCCGTCCACACTCTGGACTTCCTATTGCTACAGCAACAGGCTTTGGAGTGGGAAGGAGGTTCTGGAAGTCTTCCTGGCCCACTGCAGAGGAAGCAAATAGGAATGTGTCTGATGGGTTAGCCAAATTTTGTGTGAAAATCCTTCAGCTCGGACCTCTCAGCTTCCCCTGCTGAAGGGCTGGGTTCAGGAGTAGACTGTCTGCTTTTGGGTAGGGGCAGATGGTCAGCATTCAATGGTTGCAGGCTTGCTGTTGCGGACAGTCTCAACCTTAAGTGGCATTTCTGTTCAACGCCAACTCTCCTGTTTGGAGAACTGGTAACTAACTATAAAAAAAGAAGGGGCTTAGCTATGTATAACTGAAACTATGTATGTATTTAAGAACTGCCCTGACAGGAATTATCCATTACTTAAAGCTGCATTTCTCAAACTGGGGGTTGCAAGCAGCTTGTGGGGAGGAGGAGTTGTGGTATCTCAAAGTTTGAGAACCCCTGACTTTAAGCCTACTTTAGTAGGTCCTCCAGTTCTAACTCTTTCTGTAATCTGTGGCCCTTGATTGTCACTACTTAGAAGTGACAACTTTCCTGTGTCCTTGAAGGTCAACAAGCTCCTGCTTTTGAGCTCCATTCTCCACAGCAATCTGCAGTATTTACTGCACTGGTCAGTCACTCGTATACTATCAGCGACATCTTAGCCTCAGATGAAACTGGCTCTGCTTTTCCAACATAGCTTTTACCAATGACACAGTCTCTGGTCATACAGCCCCTTAAGCGGGAACAGAAAAAGCAACTTGCACAGAACAATTTATGGCTATTTCAGCTTGTGATACTAGCAATACATATAGTCTTGGAGTATAGGATTAGATATTGCCAACAGTCTAACCATGATGTCTTGTATGTATAAGATGCAATAGAGACTTACTTGCATGGTTTGTACATAACAGGCAGATCATCCTTGTAGCATGAAGCTAGTGAGAAACTGTGCTGCTGAAGAGATGTAGTTTTGATTCATGGAAACAGGAGGTACAGGAATATAGTCAGTGTAGACCTGCAGAAAGGGACACATGCATCCAGATTCAGTCATGGTAGTAATCTTTGTAAGTGCTCAAAACACTAAAGAGGTGGCCTAACCCTCTGATACCCATATGTCCCAAAATAATCACTGACTTCTGCTTCTAGGCTACTGCTATCTACTTGTAACACTACCTATGTTAAGAAACAGGTAACTGACTAATCATGTAGTTGCTACAATTTGTATCAACTGCAGCAGTGCCCCTTCTTGACTAATTGTACAGCCTCTCTGAGTTACGAACCAAACACTTGGCTGTAACTTGCTCTGTTTGTAACTTGGACCCTGTTGAGTTACACGCAACCACCCTGTTCAGAAGTGTGGGTCACTTTCGTAACTCAGGCAGCCTTCACAACTGCTCCATGGGAGCTCTGGTTGTAAGTGCGACTGGTCGTAACTCAACTGTTCAGAGCTTGGGGAGCAGCTGTAGTAGAAACTGGACACAGGTATCCTGGGTGCACAGATATCCTGGCTCTTATACACTTAAACTGCGGAGCTGCAGCAGGGATTGGTCTGGGACCCAGCGTTAGCTGGGACTGGGCAGTTCCAGCTTCCACTGGGTCTTGGACAACTGTACCTTGGCTGCCTTTGTTGCCTTCCCCTGCAGTGCAGAGACAGTGCTGCAGGGAACCAGCTTTAAGCTGGCTCCACCCATCACCAGCTCCTGTGCAGTGTAGTCATTCCTATTTTATTGGTTTAAAAATTGCTAGACTAAATTACTTGATGCTTAACTCTTTCCGAGCCTAAAGTAATAGTCCTGTGGAACAAAACACTTAAGCCTTCACTATTTTTAACTTCTTCCTACAGAATAGTAGTGCTGTTTAAGGATGCTCTTGCAACCCTGAACTCCATTCCTAAAGCACTGATTAAACTGAAGTATCCCATGATTAAATTTCCATGGACTTAATACTTAAATGCAGCCTTATGTAGAATAACTTATTTGTAACAGCTACATAAATGACAACTAGGCATGCCTTCTGAATGTGGCACCTGTACTAAAAGCTTGCTGTTCTTTGGCATGGGAACAGGTCCCAAAATTATGGCCCTATCATGCTAGATTAGACTTGTCACTCATCCTTATCTACCCTAAACAATAGCAAGTCATTTTCTGACTACCTGCCCTTTCTACCCTGCAGGTGATAAACCAGGGCTGAAGATGATATTGAGACAGTCTGAAATATCAAACTAAAATTAGATTAATATTGCAGTAACTGGAAAGCAGCTTCACAGCTGGCATTCTTCTGCCAGTAACTGAATGTTACCAAAATCTAAGTAGTCATGCTAGACATCTAAAACTATCAGT